GTTTCCACGCTTTACCAATGTTCGTACCACCTCTGATAGCGATGGCTATGCTTCTCCACCTCGTTTGTCTGCTTAGAGCAGCAAATGGCGTTCGATAGAATTATTTACATCATCGTTTTGAATGATTCGCGTTAAGGGGCTGAACCAATACCAAATGAATTTCAATTTAAGATGACTATCATTCTGCAGAGAGCATAACACATTCCAACTGAAGGCCCTATCCCTTCTCATGACAATGCTCATCCTGTATTGGAGAGGAAAATCATCTGATTTCAAAACAACCGTCATACGGTTGCAGCTATCATTCGAAATGGCGATTTCGATTTGAAAGGCCTGAGGTTTCATTCGAACAGAGGACGGTGGTTTGGTACAGTGTAGGTTGGTGTGAGATCATGATCAACTTTTAACAGAAGGATGACGAATGGGATTGCATATTTTATTCATGGTGCCAACAATCACGAAAACAGTAAAACTCGAAAGAACTGCTCATGTTTACAGGAAGGAAAAATGTAATGGCCTATGTAACAATTATGCAACACCGAAAACAATCCAACTCATAATACAGGGTGCGTGACGAATTTTTGCAGTAAATGGCATATTTGAGAAAAAATACACCAGTACACGCTTCCGGAAACTGCAGTATGCACGTTTTTAAATGTTACGATCCATAGATGTCATCACTGCCTTGATTTTAGCTTTTAGCGACTTAAGTTCTATTGGTATCCCGTTGGACGACGCCCTATACAAAATAATCCAACGGATTGATATCGGGACTGCTTGGGGGCCAAATTTCTTCCTCCCAAATTTACGAAATATTTTCCGTAAGCCATTTCTGTGCTTTATTAGCAGTATGAGCAGGTGCTCCGTCTTATCACTTTCCCAAGCCTTTTTTAATATTATACACTGTTCTTTCAGACACATTTACCGACCGAATTATTTCTTTCATGCATACTCCGGCACGTAACAAAGCGACAACGGCTGACAGATTGCTCTCTTGTTTCGACATCTTTACGTTTACTCAACATTGTTTGTTTAAATCTTACACCTAACAGTATAAGCTATCCAGTGCTGCCAAATATATCTAAATCATGATGCACAAGCATGAGAAATTACTATTTGAAATTTACTGCAAAAATTCGTCACGCACCCTGTAGATTGGTGTGAAGCAGCTTTTGAAAGAAGGAAAATGAATGTGATGGTTTATTCGTAATGATAAAAATCACAAAACCCGCTAAAACACGAAAGAACTGCTCATGTTTGAAAGAAGCAAAAATACTTAAAACATTGCATTTTTATTGCTTGCTAAACATTAATTTTCAAAATATCAGGATTCACCCTCAGGCAGAACGATTCAGTCAGCATCAAAGTTGTTCACTGCCAGATAGTTTGGTTCAGAGTTGATTCGTTGGGTGGCGCTAGATTCCAAATTAAGTTCTTCTATTGATAAATCAGAATCAAGACCAGATAGAGGTTTCCTATCTTCGGTAAAGTTGGACGACACCCGTTCAGTAGCGAACAGTTTAATTGGAAATTGTCTCACAAAGTGGCGCCAGATTACAATTAAAGTTATTCCATTGATTACTCCGGATCTAGACCAGATAGAACTTTCCTGTCATCAGCAAAGTTATTCAAATGGACGAGGCCCGTTCAATAGTGAACATTTTAGATGGAAAATTAATCACAGCAGGCGGCACCAGAGATCAAATAAAGTTCTGCTAGTGATAACTCTGGGTCTAGACAAGATAGACATTTTCTAACCACCAAACCGACATGAATGATCTTAGAAGGAACATGACATCTGTCTTCATGTTCGTGGAAAACTTTTAGCTAAGCCACGAACACGTGAGCAAAATGTACGAGCTGATTCGTGTCTAATCTATTCTGGAAGAGGTTCTAGGGAAGACAATGTTAGCCTCCCACCCCGAGTTCAGATTGACGGTGAAGAAATCAAGGTCGTCGATGGGTTCGTGTATTTGGGTTCACTGGTGACCGCCGGAAATGACACCAGCAGAGAAAATCAAAGGCGTATTATGGCAGGGCATCGTGCCTACTTTGGACTCCGGAGGACGCTCCGGTCGAATAAAATTCGTCGCCGCACGAAGTTGACTGTCTACAAGACGCTGATTAGATCAGTGGTTCTCCACGAGCATAGTCCAGGTCTCGTGGCCGTAGGCGACCACCGGTCTAATCAGCGTCTTGTAGACAGTCAACTTCGTGCGGCGTCAAATTTTATTCGACCGGAGCGTCCTCCCGAGTCCAAAGTAGGCACGATTCCCTGCCATAATGCGTCTTTGAATTTCTCTGCTGGTATCATTTTCGGCGGTCACCAGTGAGCCCAGTTTCGAACGGAAGGTGTTGCGTACCATCTACGGTGGAGTGCAGATGCATAACGGAACGTGGAGGAGGCGAATGAACCACGAATTGCACTGCTGGAAGAACCATCCATCGTCCACATTGCAAAAATTAGGTGACTACGGTGGGCTGGGCACGTCGTAAGAATGCCGCACGACGATCCAGTGAAGAAGAAGAAGAGGCGCGCAGCGGGCAAAGTGGATCGACCAAGTGCAAGGCGACCTGCGGACCCTTCGCAGACTACGAGGCTGGCGAAGTGTGGCAATCGATCGAGTAGAGTGGAGACGACTTCTTCAGACAGCAGAGGACAACAAGGCCTTAGTCTGATTGGTAAGGTGAGTAAGTATTCTGGATAAATAATTGTTGTCTAGATTGGAAAATCCTCTACTATTTGCCGTTTAATTTTATCATTGTGGATGGTATTTTACCTATTCTGCCCTTTGCCTTTTGTCGTGTGTATTTGGTTGTTGTCTTGGGTTGCCATGAGTTGAAAACAATTTGAGTTTATTAACAGCTGAATTAGCAATTCTTAGCTTAACTTAGGAAGCTTAGTTTTGCCTGAATAAGTTCAATGTTTTTTGGGTGGAGCGTTTACAAAAAAATAAAATTAGATTTGCATTGTTGGATGTACAGTGCTTTCTTTTGACACTCTTTGAAAGTTCATCAACCAGCAGCAAGCAATTTGAGATTGAGATTTTGATGCAAAAAATGAGCAGTGGTAGCTCTTTGAACTTCCATGGAGAGACACAAAAATCACGTTGTATTATTTTAGTATGTCCGGTATTTCAAGAATAATTCTAGAAATGATTCTCCATTGTGGTTCTGGAGGATTCCTAGAGGGATTGCCGAATATCACTATCCACAACCAACCAATCAATCTCAGAAGACGTTCAGTGAATCACCAGAGCTAGTCTAGAGAATTCCAAGAGGGATAGCCGGATAACTAGGAACCTCAAGTGCAATTCCGTAGAAAATCAAAAGAATAATCCAAATAACTCCAAGGAAGATTCTAAAGAAGTCCAATCGAAGTTCCATAGAACGCCAACAGGAGATGAAGAACATAAAAATGAATTCCAACGAATTCCACAAGGAATTGAGGAGATAAAACTTAATTGGAATTTTGAGCATCCATAGAGAAATTTTACTCTAAGGAGGATATTTACTAGCGAACTCCCATTGTATTTATGGAGAGTCAAAAAGCAAATCTATAAAATTACAGAAAATTGGAGAATCCCACTAGATTATAAATAATCTCAAGATTGATTCCGTATAATCCTAACAGAAATTTCAGATAAGCCAAAAAGAACAGAAACGGAAACGTCGTAGTAAGATTCGTAATTAGATGATCTAATTGTGTGATTTGGTTATATGAGTAAAAAAGTTTACTTGACTCTCTCCGTAAGAAAAACAGGGGAAAGTAGATTAAACTTGTTTTATTCATATTGATTAATGAAATGATAATCTTTCTTAGAAAGCAGCATTTAAATATTGAAATAGCCTTTCGTATTCAGCAGCATGATTTCAATACTACCCACCCATCATAATTTGAAAATATGTATGATGTAATTTTGCATGATTTATGATATTCCGGATTATACCAGACCATCAAGTGCCAAACAAATACAAGTAAACGCTTTAATGAATGACATTTGAGCCTAAAATGACTATATAAAAAATAATAATGATGACTTGGAGCAAAAACCACATTCGTAATGAATAAAAATACAACTTATAACCATATATCAGGCAGAATTAAGGGTTATTTTCTGGTTTCCGAGGTTTTCCCGGTTCGCTGGCTACCTTGATCTATAAAACCGATTGCACTGAAACCGATTCAATCATCTCCGAGACAATGAAGTGAGGTAGCACACACACACACATACACACCGAAATTTTTCCGATCTTCCTCATTGAGTATTTGAATATTTGAGTGATATTAAAACCTTTCGGTACCCCATAGTAGAAGAAAGGTAAACAGGATTCGAAAACCTGCAGGTCTTTGTGAGCCTTTCTCTTGCACGAGCTGCTCCTTCGCCTTCCGATATCTTCGATCTTTCTATCAATGGTTGTATGGAATGTATGTAATTTGCTTTTCGATCGACAGTTGCTACCGAGAAGATTGACGAAATTTTAGGACGGTCTGCCATGAAACATATGAAAATGTAACTCTGATGTAGTCATCTACCACCACCCATTTCGACTAGAAACTACTTGATGGTCCATCTAAAATCACCACTGTCACATATGTATGTTCTCCCCTTGGCCAGTACGCTATCAGTGAACCGCACAGCACACACTTTATTTATTTTTGCATGATCATACTACTTTCCTCCTGCTTCCCCTTATCGCGAATTATTCAACGGCAAACATGAGATTAATCATGGTGCTCTATCTTCTAGGTTTAGGCCACCAGCTGCACACTATCACACCGAAAATGTTACTTCATCACTGCACCGACCCTGCAGATGATGGTGCACTACGCCAGCTGTTTCCACAATGCACATGATTTTACTTTTTCGATTCTAGATATGAGACATTAAACGAACATTCCATCGTGGGACAAAACAAAACCAAAATGAAAACTACACCCCACACGAAACCAGAACACAAGTTGAAGTTTTATAAATAGCACATCGAATTCCACTTACTCTTCTTGTGGCATTTTGCTCCGGTTTTTCTCGTTCTAGAACTTCCCTCGGAAAACGTTCCAATCCGGCCAAGAATCACTGCTCGACTGGAAGCTCACTCTCACTGGCAAGCACTCGCAGGCAGACCTGAGTCCCCGTGTGTCTTATCAGCTGAATGTAATTGCTTCTTCTTCTGAATAGCTTGGAGAGTAGATTCTCCGCTCCGTGTTATCAACGCAGGGTCCCCGACGACAACGACGACGACGACGACGACGCAAATGAGTGTTTGGCAAATAATCACGCACCGCACAGTATCGAAGACGACTCGTCCGCTTAAACGACGGGACTTCGACTAGCCTATACCTTCTAAGATTGCTCTCAACCCGTAGGGCAATCAAATCCCGCGCGCGCAAAGGTAGTAATTTTCTCTCGCACCGGACCTGACTGAATCGCAATCGATCAAAAAAAAAAAAAATCACACAAAACACGTGTGACGAGTGTGCACTATGTGATCAAACAGCAGAACGCGAAACTTGCAATCAAGTCGAAGAATTCCTGATTCCGTCGAACAACAAACACAGGGTGACACCAACGACGCCGTCTCCCTAATATATCTTTGCGTTTTACTCGAAACAGAAACAGTTTTAGCGGAGGCTGGAAAATTCGCGACCCCGCGTTGACCCGATTAAGCCGATAGTATCCAGTGGACTGAAGCGCCGTCGCACAAGAAGCCGTACTCTTATACACACATTCAGAACATGCATGCAGCCGAGAACGGACGACGACCACGACGACGACGACGACGACGACGATGACGGCGACGCACTCAGAACCCTGCAGGAGTCCACTTGGTGGATCTGGTTAGTGGCGGGTGCGCGATGGGGCAGGCACGACGGACGATATGCGACATGCGAATAGTAACTGCTGCAGCACCAGCCAGCAGCCAGATGGAACCATGCAAGAACAACTCCGGTTCTGCTCGTTGGCACCGTCATACAGAATGTGAAGCAGAGAATCTGCTTCACGATGCACAATGAAAGCAAAACCGGTTTGTCGCGATTCATACCATTAATGGATGTGAGAAAACGGTTTTCGAGAACAATTGCCTCCTCGAGGTACGACGCTACTGTGGCAGGAAATTGCGCCGCATGTCGTGTTTTTTTTTTGTTGATCTGCAAGATTTTGCTCTGTTTGTCTGGAAAAGGAGGAATCTGCTAAGGACTCAGATTTCACATTCCAAAACATATGGTAGCGACAAAATGTATGTTCAAATTGTTTTTGAATGGACATTTTTGCGGTCATTTTAGATTTAAATTGATTCCTTGGTGATGAGATACACAGCAAAAAAAATATTTTTAATATCACATCCAAACCTCAAATGAAATGTCCTCATTTTCAAATTTTTGATATGGTAACCCTAGTAAAGAGAGGTGATAAAACTGATTTGTACCTTCCTAAAAGTTGTCTAGCTCGCATTCTACTCTCTATATTCAACTTTCACACTGCCGTACTCTAAACGGAACTATCAACTCTATACTTTCATCTCCTCATCTATCGTATATAAATTACCACTTCAGTCTGTTATTTGAAATTAGCATCTTCAACTATGTAAATCGTTGACTTCACGCAGAAGTAATACTAAACATATAGTCAAAGTTTAATATTACATCCAAGAGGATGCACTTCAATCGTGTCGAACATATGTAAAATTATCATTAGTACAGTGCATAAATTGACATTACGCTGCTTTACTGCATTTGTTTATTTTTGTGGCCATAAAAATTACATGACATTTTCGACATGATCGAAGTGCATCCTCTTGGATGTAATATTAAACTTTGACTATATGTTTAGTATTACTTCTGCGTGAAGTCAACGATTTACATAGTTGAAGATGCTAATTTCAAATAACAAACAGACTGATGTGGTAATTTTTATACGATAGATGAGGAGATGAAAGTATAGAATTGATAGTTCCGTTTAGAGTACGGCAGTGTGAAAATTGAATATAGAGAGTAGAATGCGAGCTAGACAACTTTTAGGAAGGTACAAATCAGTTTTATCATCTCTCTTTACTAGGGTTACCATAACAAAAATTTGAAAAGGAGGACATTTCATTTGAGGTTTGGAGACTAAGGAAGACAAAGATTCCTTTTCTTAATATTAAATGAGGACAATGAGCTTTTATCAAACGTTTTAATAATATGTGCGCTATCACAAAATTCATGAATTGGAAATGTTCATAACTTTGAGTCGTTACCAATTCAATTCATCTTCTCGTTAAACTTCTGAAAAATGCATCAAACTAGCCTTCATAATTAATCATTTTGTCAAGCTTCTGCATTCATGTTCCATCAGATGTCACTGCTGTTGTTTGCGGTGACATCTACGGAAAACTACGCACAAAATGTTTTCCATTAATTGTTCACAGAGGACACTGCAGTGCAAAACAGTTAAATGAGTTAAATGATCTATATTTCTTGAATTTGTGTGGTTTACAAGTATTACTTATCAAGTGACACAGATGCGTCTTTTCAACTTTAGTTATTTTGAAATTTTAATTATTATTAATTACAGTTCCTAGTCCTATCAGGCCTGTTTAAAGAATGACCACCTTGGTGGGATTGGTTTGATTTGAATTGGAAAAAGGAGGCTACTTATAACTACTATTTACAACTACAACTAACCTACAGCTACTATATACACCTAACCTACTATATACAAGTTGCTTATCAAAGCATGTTCTGATAAATTACATTTTTCTGCAAATTTAGTCTTAATTTAGTTAATTCTTGAATCTATTTTGGCAATTCCTGCCTCTTCGTGTAAATTTTTTTTTTTTTTTTTTTTTTTTTTTTTTTTTTTTTTTTTATTATAGTCACTTTAACACTCTTGGGTCATTCGTGACTTGTCCGGGGGTGAGATTTGAACTCGTGACTTTGGCGTGAGAGGTATGGATGTTAACCACTACGCCGGGGTCGCCCCCTACGTCGTGTAAATTTGTTATTCTAGTGTCGAAAGGACGATCAAGAACCATCCTCAGCACTCTATTCTGAGCGACCTGAATTTTGTTCCTGTGAGTCTGTGCACATGATTCCCACACCGGAGCTGCGTAGAGGATCGCAGGTGCTATGATTTGTTTGTAGACGGCCAGTTTGTTTACCCTTGAGAGGCGAGATCTGCGGCAAATCAGCGGATACAGACACCTAACCAAGGCAGAACACTTGACTACTGTTTTCTCTACATGCGGACGGAAGAGGAGCTTTTCATCGAACAACATCCCGAGATAGGTTACTTCGGCGGACCACTCAACCCTTGTGCCATCCATGATTACAGTACAAGATGGAGCCGGTTTCAGTTTGGGCGATTGCCGATGTAGGAACATGATCGCTTGTGTTTTGGAGGGATTGATTTTAATTTTCCACGTGGTGGCATAATCAGCAAAGGCGTTAAGGCATCGTTGAAGTTTGTTCGTTATTTCGCGAGGCATCCTTCCTTTGACGGCTATTGCGGTATCATCTGCGAACAGGAAGAACACGCAACCGTCACCGAGGGGAGGAATGTCGGAAGTATAAATGCTGTAAAGCAAGGGGCCCAGCAGACTTCCTTGCGGAACTCCTGCTGGGATGGAAAACGTGTCGGAAAGACAACCATTCAACGATACCTTAAACGACCTTTGCTGAAGGTAGTTACGGGTGATTTTAACCAGATGTAATGGGAAGTTGAAGTTACAAAGCTTGTACACAAGTCCGTCATGCCAAACATTGTCAAACGCCTTTTCAACGTCTAACAAGGCCATGGCTGTGGACTTGGATACAGCTTTGTTACTTCGGATGTTATTCATCACCCGTACTAGCTGATGATTGGTGGAGTGCCCCTTTCTGAATCCAAACTGTTCCGGAAGGAGAATGTTATTTTCCTCGACAAACTTGAGCAAACGATTGAGAATGAGTTTCTCGAACAATTTGCTCAGCGCTGAAAGGAGGCTGATTGGTCTGTAGCTTGAAGGCAATGTTGGATCCTTACCGGGTTTGCGGATTGGTATGATTTTTGCTACTTTCCAGATGCTTGGAAAGTAGTGCAGTTCCAAACATCTGTTGAAGATTGCGGTTAGAAGAGACTGCACTTTCATGCTGAGTCTCTTCAAGATCAAGTTGAATATACCGTCAAACCCGGGAGCCTTCATGTTCTTGGTGCATTTCAGCGCTGAGCAAATTTGTTGTACTGTAATCATATCCGCCGGAAGCACGACACAAGGGGAGGCATCTAGGTTTTGAACGCTTTCCGCAACCTGATCTTCGAGCGGACTTTGGATATTCGAGCCAAGCAAATGCGATGAAGCGACATGCTCGCCGATCGCATTTGCTTTCTCCTGTGGGGTGATTAAAAGCCGATCGTCATCATTTTCGACTCTGAGAGGTGGAATGGGTTTGGGATGAGTTTTCAGGACCTTGGCTACCTTCCAGAATGGTCTGGAGCGGTCGTCCAGATTCTGGACAACACGCCCGAAACTTTCATTTCGGAGTGAGTCCATTCTGGAAGCAATCTGTCTGTTCAGATCAGCCATTTCACGTTTTTTGCCCAGATCTCCAGTCCTCTGAAACTGGCGTCTACGAACATTTCTCAGGCGAATCAAAAGTTGGGTGTGGGAATCAATGGCAATAAACTTACCCCTCACAGGAACTCGTCGGACGCACGCCTCGTCAGCCACGGTTATGGCTTGGTGGAGTCCCTCCAACGCTCGGTCGATGTCCTCAACGGTGTCAAGCGGCGGGTTGTCGATGATGTGCCTGTCTACCACGCGTCCAAACTGGGCCCAGTTTACGCGATGGTAGTCCTTGCGCAGGCTTGAAGCAGGAGCCACGTTGCAGCCCAGTTCAGCCACCACCGGTTGGTGGTCGGAGCTGAGTTCGTTCAAGGCTACCGGCTTGGACAAGCCGATATTTGTCAGGAACAGGTCTAGCGTCGATGGGTTGCCCGCTGGTGAGATGAATGTTGGTTCATCCGAAAACCAAACGGAGTACAGCCCATGCTGTGAGTGGTCGAACAGGAGACGACCGTTCTGGTTCTGCTGGTAGTTCCGCCAGGCCTCATGGCGAGCATTCAGATCTCCTCCAACTACGAAGCGGGAGCCGGTACGGGTGATGGTGGACAGGTCCTTCTTGAATTTAGCCGCTAGTCCACTGCTGGCGGCACACTGTCGAG